CTAATTATCAATGTTTCCACCTATTTGATCCATCACATCTCATTGCATAGTAAATACAGTATAAACCAGACAGAACGCTGCGTTTCAGGGAAAAATTCAATATTTTGTGTCCTTGTGTAACTTTTTCCGTCAGCAAAATTGTATTTGTATAGGCTATCGTCTTTAACAAATGTTATTTTGGAGGATTATAGGAAATATTCTGGAGATTATTTGGCTATTTCTTAAATCTGACATTGTGGTTTAATTTGTTTCTCTTTGTATCTCTCTATCTCCCTACGTGTGTGTGTGTGTGTGTGTGTGTGTGTTTCTGTCTCACACACCCAATTCAATTCAATTCAATTTATTTCTGTTACCAAGAAAACATTACAAATCAATTATTAACATTTACAACAAAAATGTTTTTTAAGCAAGAGAGATACATGAAAATCGAAAAACGAAAATCGAAAATCGTCCTAATGTTTTGTTGGGTAAGTATGGACTAAGCTATTAAAAAAGGCATTTCTTGAAAAAGAGATGGTAACATATATTTTTTCCAATTGTAAATAAATTGACTTAGTTGGAAAAATATAAGTCTTTTACCTTTAGTATCATATTAAAAAAAGAAAGTATCTGTATGGGATCGAAAGGGGAATTACAAATAATACGAATAATCTTCTTTTGTAATAACAACACTTTATCTATTGCCGTTAGATGTGTGTTACCTCAAACTAAGAGACCATAGTTCAAGTATGGGATTATCTATAACTGTAAAGCATAATTACTGAATTATGTGGAAGACACGTCTTTAATACCAATATTTCTGTAAATAATTTTACAAATATTGTCTATGTGATTTTTCCAAAAAGGCTTGTTATCAACCGTTGCACACAAAAATGTAATGAAACACACTCCAATAAAGTCTATAGGGGTATAGAGAGGGGGGGGTAGATGGACGGGGAGATAAAGGAGGGGGCGGGCAAGGATTGAGAGAGAGGAGAAGAAAGAGGTTGATTTGACCAATATATTCTACAATAAAAACGACATTCACATGAGTTGTGGTACGATTTAGAATGTGAATATACAAATTAATTTACTATAATTATATTACCTATGTATTTTTTAAATCGCAAACGTATCATCTTACTTTGTTTTTTATGTGATCATAATTATTAAAACCGTAATATTATAAAGTGTAATACTATTCTTGCTCAGCCCATGATGTATATATATATATATATATATATATTTATATATTGATATTTATATATGTATTTAAATAAACTGGATTTAAATGATTTAACCACTACCTTTCAATTTATCAAGATTTATATCGTCCAATATCTATGTAGTTTTTGATGGGCCTATAGTGTGATTCATTTCAGCCACTTGTACTCGTTCTACTCTATGCAATTCAGCTCATGGTTGCAACAAATAAATAATTAATACTTATCATTGGTAGAAAAGCAGCCGAAATTTTGATACGATCTATACGTTGACAGATAAAGAATTAAAAGAACGATCTAACTATGAAACAGATGTTTAGGTAAGGCACATAATCTTGAAATCGTTGAAAGAAATTCAGACAAAAATACTCGAAGGTAAGGTGTGCCTAGGGCAAATTGGACAAGTATTTCCATTTTCATACACATGTTCCTTTAGGTCTCTCTGCATAGATCTTTTTATCAAATCCATGTTTATGTTGTCATTTGATACATTGCTACCAGCACTTTAAGGGTATTGAATCCGCAAAGACCTTCGTGGGAGATATGTAATTCAAGATTAACGATGTTATCAAATAATCGGAATTTGAAGAAGAAGAAAACAGGTCTATAATTTCATATTTTGTGATACAATGGTGGCGGTGGAGAAACTTTGTTTACTAACTTACTATAGACGCTTCGTCCTTCAAAATTAGCCCATTTGCAGATTTGAGATTCCACAAAAGTTAAAAATAACAGATATTATGAAAGATTGGAAAATGTCAGAAACTACGTTATAGACCCAAGTCACCCGCGTTCATGAATAAAAGTCAACATAATCGTCTGTCAACTCTACTTAACAGCCTATTTTTCTGTACACTTGTTTTGTTTTCTTTTTTTCTTTTTTTATTCGTCGTTATCTCCAAAAAGCGAGAGAAAAAGTGAGTTTCAATTTTTTTTTCTCTCTCTCTCTTTCTATATACTTATCTTCGTCTCCTCTCTCTCTCTCTCACTCACAAACTCTAATCAGTTCATGTTTGGTTGGAACTGTTGAAAGTGGCTATTCAGGAAGATTAGAATAGATTCATACACAATTAAACCCTTTTTCTTCACATTCAAAATAGCATACTCATAGTACTTGCCGCCTGTTACCTTAAAGGGATCGTTTAACAATGTTAAATCTGAGATACACGGTCCTACATGTTACCAGTGTCTGTGATATGGTGTAATATTGAAGCCCTAAAAAAAAAATCGCGCTTCAAAATGATCAAGAAGTGCCTCAAAAAAGTAAAAAATCTTTAAGTGACCGGTTTTACCATACTCGTTTTCCCCAATAGACTGTAGTGTTCAGGCGCGTACGCAGGGGGGGGGGGGGGGGGGGTGGTTTAGGGGGTTAAACCCCCCCCCTTTGGTATTTTTATATGTATAAACCCCCCTAAAAATCCCTAACCCCGAGACCAAAAAAAAAAAAAAGTGTCCTCTTACCTTATTTCTAAAGGATCTAAGACAAAGTTACCGGATCCCTTTAAAATCGTTTAAACCTTGAAAGGTTTCAGAACACATTCAGACGGGTCACATGAAGGATAAAATGTTCAAGTTACCATTTGTAGCACGCGAGTTGCGCATTTATATCTAGCGTCAACTCAACATTGATCCTGTTCATGACGTTGATATATCGCTACCCTGGTCCGCTATTTTTTACATGTAGTGGGTTTGTTGTGGCTCTTCTGCTAAAATATTAACGTCATACGAATTTGTTGTGATTACTGATGTGGTATCTTTAGATATTATTTTGTTCATGTCCTGCAGCGCCGTCCGTATTTGTTGCTACTTTCGCTGTTGTTCTTTTCGTAATGTCATGTTTTTTCACTCTTTTGTTTTGAAATATCACATATCCATACCATTGAACATACTGCACACTGTACATATGCTTTATATGACCGACAATAATATATTCTTTATTTCACTCCACACTCACTCAATCTCTCTTTCTCTCTCTCTCTCTCTCTCTCTCTCTCTCTCTCTCTAATATCCCCATGTCTCATTTACTCCTAGCTCTACTCTGTTTTCTTTCTTCTCTCTCTCTCTCTCTCTCTATTTCTTTCCTGTATTCTCTCACAAATACTTAGAGCCTCTTCCCGTCCATGGCCGCACCATTGAGGGAATAATGAGAAGGGCAACGACCGATAAAACATTACAAAAATACTTGGACAGAATATGGCTATTATGCAAGAAGTGACAAACTACATATTTTTTTATAAATGCACGAAATAAGGGGTTTTCAGACACAAAAAGTGTTACCCCCCCCCCCCCCCGACATTTTTTTTACCCGGGTGGAGAGGGCGACACAGGGAAAGCAAGATGCCATTATTGAAAATTTACTTTGGAGAAATATCATATAGGACTTTTTATTCATCTTTGTATACACAGTGTATACAAACATGTACATTGTCCATTTAATGGCAAACGTGAGAACACTCTTTAAAAGAAAGTTCAAAATGGCAATATAATTCCTTAATAGTGCGCTATGTCGTTTGCCTGGAATTATACCGGCTATATCGTTGCTTTAAGGTTTTTATTTTGATATCAATTTGGAAAGAGTTACATTGAAATATTCAAATTTTTGTTAGGTGTATACTTACTTTGTCATTTTTTTTGGATACGCTTGTATTGCACAGGACAGGTAGGGCCATAACATGATTACAAAATCGTTATCATTGTAAGAAACAGTTAAATGAAAAAAATGTTTAGTTCTTCAACTTGATAGTTGAGTTCTGTTGCAGCTGGTGCCACACAAAATAATTTTTGATAGTGGGATAATGAAAAAACTGAGTGTCAAGTTTGAAAGAACATACAATTTAAAAGACAAAACCATCTTTGCTTGATCAAAATCGGTTCAGAGACGGGTGAAATATTCATAAATATAACCATTTGTAATATTTGTGAACCACCACAAATATTAGATAATTTGAAACAGCCGTTGAAAAAACGAAATAGCGCGTTCTACTTTTTATTCCAGCCAATGCCGATGTTGGCTTTTCGTTGGCTTTTTCGTGTTGGTTACGATAGACACAACCAGCCTGCCCATGTGTTGTTATTATTAATTAATTGATTGATTAACAGTCAATGTATTTATTTTAAAGTAGAGCTGAATTGGTATGATCGTATTGGCTCAATTTCACACATTTTGGGGTCTAAAATTACCTTCATAGCAATTTTAGGTCCTAAAATGGCATTAAAAATGTCATAAATAAGAATAAGAGCAATAACCATGCACTTTGAAGGCATTCGCGGTCTGAAACAAGAACTCAACTATTCCTTTAAGAGAATTCATATGACATATTATTTACTTTAGAATTTCAAGAATAGCAATTAAAGACAACATGCTTAAGAAATATTAGGTTATTACTACATATAGTTTCCACAAGTAACCCTGTTAATATATACAGTATTTCGTGTTTCTCATATATATATATATATATATATAAATACCTCAATGTCAATGTGATAATACTTCACGATCAAATTAAAATAAAATAAGATAACATAAAGTAGAGCAAACAAGACTAAACTAAACTAATCTCTGCTGTATAATGTAAGCTCTTACATCTACAAGCTGAGCTTGTTAATAGGTTCCTCACATTTCACCCTGTATTACCTTCTATACATTTAATTTCGACGTCTTTTCAAAGAATTAATTATATGATGTGACACTTTTAGTATATTTCATATTATGTTCAAATTTGTCAATTATGTGAATTCTTTTTGTGTGAAATATGAAACAAATAAACTTGAAACTTGAAATTTGGAACATGAATTTTGATTTTTGTTATAAACATTCAGAAATGTTCCGCAAAAAAAAAGAGGAGAATTTCCCCAAATTACACGAAAAAAAACGATTCTCAAACTCTCAAAGAGAAATCATATATTAAACGACTAATGTAAAAACTATCATCCGTGCGTTCATGTCTTACAAGTTCGATTGACATATATTCTACATCTTCGGTACGAAGAACAAGACCCCAAAACATCGACATTACTTCCTTTACAAACTTTAAATGAATAAAGCTATTGTAGTGAGTAACTATACGAAAAAATGATCAAAAGCGCTACCTTGAAGAAATCTTAACCATTTAGTTAACATTGTTATCATTAACCTTTTTTTGAGTTCATCAAGCACATTAAACACGTCATCATCGACGCTCTCCACACTGTTCACATTGAGGACAGACCTCTAAAATCAGTGACCCTACTGAAACCTACTCCTCGTGTTGAATAGGACTTAAATGATAAATAATTACACGACTGTGTTGTCAACAGACGATAATTTAGTGACATTTGTATCAGTAGTGGCGTTGCTAGTCTCATCTATGACTGCAAAGACAGATTGAAGTCTGATAGACGGTACGTTCCTAAAGAGTTCTTTGAGAGCCTGTCTGAAGTTCGGGTTCCTGGCGGCGTAGATGATAGGGTTCGCACAGGAGTTGACGAAAGCAAGGACTACGAAGGAGCGGTAGAGGGGGCTGTCGAAGTGCGAGAAGTCGATAATACCGACGGTGACAGCAAGGAATCCAAACTGATCAGGCGTCCAGCAGATGATGAAGATAACGACAACGATAAAGAGAATTTCTATGACGCGACGTCGGGCCACCAAAAAAAGTTTATTCGGCCGCCGGCTCTGGTTTTCAGCGGAGTAAGGCTGGGCGCGCTCTCGAAGGGTTCGGATGGTGAATACATAGGCCAGGATCATGACTGATACGGGTACCAAGTACTCTGAGATGAAGAAGAAGATTCCGATGAACTTCTGGAAAGATGGCGTCGGGAAGCCCAAAGCACAATTTCCTTCGAAGATGTAGTGGATGTAGAAACTGACGGTGTTGATGACCAAGGAGATTATCCATATGCCACCTATTGCGAGGGACGTTGTTCTGGAGGTAAAGAATCGCTTGAATATGATCGGGTACCTCACAGCCATGAGCCTTTCTATTGAGATGGTGGTGAGGGTAAATATGGACGCGCAGATGGATGTCCACATGAGGGAATTGGAGTGGATGATCCGACAGTAGAGCTGCGCTGCTACGGTGTCTGGAAGCGTCTTCACTTGAGCGTGAGGAATGATGAACACCGACGTCAAGAAGTCGGCCAGAGCCAACCCAGCGATCAGGGTATCGGTGGAGCAAAGCTTTTTCTTGACACGGAAGAGTACCAACATCACCAGGGAGTTTCCGATGATGCCAGCGATGGCTAGGATCAACTGAATCACCTCCCACCATTCCCAACTGATCGGTATCCATGACCACACGACTGGCACCACTGCGTCGGTGAAGTTGGTAACAGTCACATTTTCGCTCATGTTCGCGCCAAATATCGAGAGACCTGACGAGGTCATGTAAAAGTCAGATGACATGAGCGGAGATGTGTCAGTCTTCATTGTCGCAGAAACTCCCGTAATATTCATTCCTATACGTGCCATGCTGGAGAATCCCAATCAAGTAGTTCAGTAGGTATGATGGTCTGTTAATTAAAGAAGGAAAAAATATTATTTCACAGTATTTCACATGTAACCCCCGTGAAAACAGAAACTGGTAACATGAAACTTCGCCGAATTGTTCCACCGTAGCTATTTTCGAGGAAATTAACTTCAACGAATTGCAAAAATTTGAGTTTATCAGTTGTGGTTTTTTCTTTAATGTTCTATATAAAGACACATATGTCCTCGTTTCACACACAACACGTTTTCCTTTTGTAAAGTGATTGACAACATATGGCTAATAAAAATGTCCATTTGCATACAAATGATAAAATATAGAGTGAAAGCACTTGTCTTCTTTTCATGTTTTGTTTCGTTAGTGGCAAAATGTGAAAGTAAGAATAATAGCACGTTCCGTTCATGTCGAAACTTATTTTTAACTACAGTTTTATATCTATTTTATTTGATGTTATACAGGGTAGTTTTATTCAGTTCCACCGAAAGCCAATGGACCAGCTTTTCAAGATGATAATACCAACTTTAACAAATGTACGAACATGTAAAATATCCAAATAAACATATATCTTTTAGAAAAAAACAGCTAGAACACAAATCGATATTTACCCTTACTTCAAGGGCTTGCAACAAACAGTCACGTGTCACGTATCACGTGTCACGTTCACGTTTTGTGCTGTTTCGTAAAATAGGTGACTCTAACTTACGAAGTGTAGAGCATACCATTCGTTGTTTTTCACACCGGTAAACACGAAGGATCACGTCTACCAAAACGTGACGTGAGTGTTAAGTCAATATTTCTAAAATTGCAAGCGCTTGTTACTCAGACTAGTCATGACGTCAACGCAATATGTATGATTTGAGTATGTACGTACGTACAGTATACGTATCGCTTGCGTCTAACTAGGTGACAACGCGTCACGACGATATCGACGAGGACGAGGCCGGCACGGTTCGACGACATGGCGATCGAGACTAGCCAGCGCTCAGCGAGCCGCAGATTATCGTATGTTGATACCTTATATGTGACACACTGGCAGGTCACTAATTGGTGAGGGGTCCATGGACGGGGCCCCCAGGAGCTCAGGGGTTGTAGGCATTAAATTACCGTCAGAAGAGCATCCAGGTGCCCGCCTTAGGGCACTAGGTGGAATCCAGGGGGGCAGAGCTCCCGGAAGCTCAGGGGGTTTTAGGCATTTGATCACGGTCCTTATTATTTGTGTCAAAGGCAGGTCACTATTTTTTCTTTCTTTCTTCATTAATTTGACATTTTCCCACAAATGCATAAAAAAGTATAATTTACTAAACATTGAAGAAGAAAAAAACCCGAAAAATTATGTCATCTCAGCAACATTTGTAAATCACCGGTATCGAATAAGAAATAAACCGCGTTTGAATTATATTTGGGGGGCATCTGTCAGCCCCCCCCCCCCCCCACCTCCCAAGCTCCCCCTCCCCCCCCCCCCCCATCAGTACGCCAGTTGGGGCCCTCCGATCTACACCTTGTTGGCGGGACAAATCATAACTGATCTCCCCTACCTTTCTTCTTTCTTTTTTCCGCCTTTCTCTCCTCTTTTTCTTTCCTTTCCCTTCCTTCTCTCTGTTTCAGGTTTGCAAGGGGGGCCCCGATCCACACGTTGTTGGCTGGATTAATCGCAACTGTTCTCCCTTTCTTTTTTTTTCTTTTCTTCCTGTTTTTTTGTTCCGTTTTAGCTCTCCTCTTTCCCTTTCCCTAATTCCTCCCCCCATTTTTTTTTCGGGGGGGGGGGCGGGGACAAGGGCCTTTTGGCCACCCGAACTACAACTTGTTGGCGGGAGAATTGCAACTGATATCCCTCTTATTTTTTCTTTTCTTCTTCCTCTTTTTTCCTTCCCTCTTTCCCTTTTTCCTTTCCCTTTCCTTCCTTCTCTCTGCCCCTGCCCCCTTGTTTCGCCGCCCCTGCAAGAACCTATGGTAATAGTATTTGTTTCATCCATTTACAGAATTAGTCGAGCATACATATACGCAGAGTAAACCACAGAGTTACACAACATATTCTGGCCTGAAGCAGCTTTTTTTGCCATTAGTCTCTTCTCAATGACAATTTGCATTATTTTTCTTAACGCCAGCGTCAATTTACGTGAGCTTTCTTAGATATCATATAGCAAATCAACAAATTGTTGGGTCACGTAACCCAACACTTTGTAGATCTGGGTGACCTGTTTCACGAAAGGGCGGAAGACGTGAACGTGATACGTGATACGTGACCGTTCGTTGCAAGCCTACTACAAGAGTTTACAGAAGAAAATTAATCTTCATTAAAAATCATTCGAATATATTATTTTCAATTCTTTGTTATCTTATGAGATTAGTTTTTGAGTAAATTCCCCAAAACAGTACAACACTCATCAATGTGTTGCAAGAAGAGTGAGGATAAAATTGTTTTACGAGTTAAATAAGGCTTAGTTCTCCGGATAATCCCAATTACACGAAATATTTTATAACACACCCTACTGACATTTTTGGACCAATTTAAACCTGGATCCAAAATAATTCCTGAATATTTAAATTCTTCAACAAAATCAATTGTTATGCCATTATTATATTGAATAACAAATTATTTTTTTTTCGTTTTTTTTTTCTTTGGACAAAACATCATTACCCTGTCTTGTCGAAATTAAAAAAATAATCTTTTTGATACTTTTTTTATTTACAAACTGATATAATGACACTTTGACATTATTTATCAAACATTTCAATACGGCACAAATCATTAATGTAAATACAGAATAACCAAGGCCCCAAAATTGAACCTTAGCTACTCCGCAATTAACTGTAACAGTTAAAACACCACTTATACAACCATTTATTATGAACGCATTGTTGTCTACTAAGCAAATATTCTGAACAAACCTTTTAATTCTACTTAAGAGAGACCCGGTAATATTTTGTTTTCAAAAATATTTTTTCTTCAATTTTCGAGCCCTCCACAGGGCTCCCTCCACAGGCTATTTATTAATAATAATCAATATATGAAGGAAAAGATCAAATGCCTTACATAGGTGTAAAAAAGTCACATAAACTAGTGGATGTTGAATTAAATATTCTGAAACCGTAGTGGTATTGGTTTAATAATGAAAACTGGATAAAAAACGAATATAAATTTGTATGACCAGCCTTAGATTTTTTTTAAAAAGGCAAAACTGATATAGGCCTAGGTCTGCAACAATTTAGATCATTCTTTACGTTATTTGTATAGATTTGTATAACTTTAGAGAGTTTAAAGTCAGAAGGTATTTTAGATGCCAGTGATTTATTATACAGTTTAGTCAATGGTTCAGAAATAACATTTGCAGCTAATTTCAAAAGTCTACGATGCATATTCACAAATACAATACAAGTAGATTTATGAAAATCGATATTCCTCAATTCTATTTTCACATTATCAATTTCTATAGCTGAAAATTTAAACACATGAGGAACTTACTTTATAGTCGTATTATTCATAGTAACTGTCGTATTATGATGGTCATATTTATCACATACTCCATTAAAATGATTTATTAAAAGCGTTCGCTAAATCTTTGTCATCTTTATTTATACATGACTGTAACACCATCAATTAAAAACAAAAAAACTATCAAATTCTTTTTACCATCTGGTAGTGTTTCATTCATTGTCCTACATGTTTTCTGCATATCATTATTCATGTCATTGAAAATAAATTTATAATGCTTTTTCTCTAACTTTTCTTTAAGTTATTTGCTCTTTTTCGATAATTTGTATACTTTAACGTGAAAAGCTAATCTTTGAGATTTTTCACAAAAATGTAATTCTTTTATTTTTTGGGTAATATTTATTTTATCAAACTGTTTTATATTTATTACAACCCCATAGGCAAAGTAGGATGTTTCATTTTAAAAATAACATTTATCAAAGAATGATCACTATTAAAGTCCTACATAATGTACTCCATAGGTTAAAACTCCCAATCTTCTAGAAAATAAAATCAAGTTATTCCCTCAGAAAGTTGATAAAGAGGACAAATTTCTTCAATTTTAAGAAAATAAATCGAGCTAGCATATTGCAGTTAGAATTCCCTATAGTTATAACATTATTTGATAGAGAAAAAAAACATCGTGTAGACGTTCTTTAAAGATATGAACAACCCATATCACTATCAGGTTTTCTGTAAAACACACCGAGAAAATTAAAAGAATGCTTCGGTTATATTAGTTCAATCTCCCCACATTTAATATATTCACTTCCTAAATCAAATCGTTTCTTATATCAAGGTAAACATTCTCCAATGTAACATACCACTCCGCCACTTCCTTTCTGTTCATTAAAAAAATAAATTTGGAATGCTTAATAGGGACTGTAAGAAAGACTATCATCAAGCCAAGTATCTGGTAGTGATAGACTATCATAAGGGTACTTTTTTTATAGATATTTCAATACCTTCTTTCTTATTTTCTAAAGTTCTTACATTAAGGAGGCTTAATTTTAAACCCTTTATAGAAGAAAAAGAATCTCAATTCGGTTCTCTGGCATGTGACATCTCTTCAAGTAATACACAATCATTTACATTTAAAATTGGATCACATGATCAATCGTCTCGTCCATAACATGGTAACTGCTCCATCAGGCAGTGTGAGCATTGGGAATATATAAAATGTATTTCAGAATCAACGATATGTTTATATATGTTTGTACATTGCATATGAACCTTGTAACAGTGCGTACAGAGTTGAGCACGTTAGTGTTCCTACTGCCCTTTCACAACGAGCACATGTGAAATATCACCATATATAAAAGTTATACAGGGGGGTGTTTCACAAATATTCTAAGTTGAACTTATCTCTAAGTTGGACTTAACAGTTATGGAAAGCCATTAGCATCCTTGAAAATATTTTGTAAAAGTTATTTTAAAAGGCATAAAATGTTGATTCAAATCATTCATTTTTTCTATTATCATGGGAGATTTCATGTTCTTGATGTGGAATTTATGTATTTATTTATCTAAAATACTTAAATTTTTGCTTTTGA